AACTAAAAGCACTTTTAATTATTTAAGTGACGAACGCCCTTCACACGTTTTCAAACCGTCGATGTTGAGCTTACTTATTACATCGTCAGAATCAGTATTTACATCCACGTTGTCTGCAGTACCTGTGCTATTTCTGACCATTTCTTGATGACTGGCCAGTGAGATAATCTTTTGTACCGCTGCTGAACAAGCTGATTTCGATTCAGTTCTAGAGATACTACCCAGAGAACCTCGCGGAGAACAAACGCGATTTGATTTTCGGTTGAATGGACTAGCGCCTACCCTGGGTACCAGAGGTTATTCCACGCTCGTAGGGGGATAATGATGCATCTACATCTTTGAGCTGGTAATGGTGTTGAAACTTCTCGTGTAATGTTTTATTAAACCGAAGATTTTAATTCCGTTACAAGCTCATGCACTTTTAGAATTTTTCTTAGCATATGTTGTAAATTGTGGTTGAATGATATTCAGCCAACTTTGTCACATAAATCTGAGAGCACAATTCCGAAAGATTGTTTTCTTTGTGACGGTTTGAACAGGTTTTGCGATGAAACATGCACAATTTTACTAAAATTGCCGAATTGCTGTTTAAAACAACATTTACAGACTCTGCAATAATCGTCCGGAGCAGTATTACGTTCGCGACATTGTTTGATTGACACGTTTGCATGCAAGCGAAGATATTTCTTTCGCCCAGGGTTTTCCCCAATTGCAGCTGAATTTTTATTGGTCAATTTTAGAAAGCATTAATTATGTTATGACTGGGGCGTGTAGTCATGAAAGGTGGGCTTTCCTGCAGGCCCTCCATCCTCCCCGGTGTCCGCCAAAATACTGGCCGTTGCAAATCAGGCCCCCATAAAACTGAGGGCCTGCCTCGCAGGCTAGTACGATACGCAATAGTGTGACAGGGCCTTAAACTGTGGATGGCTGGTCATGGTTAATGAACACTGCTCTCATGCAAAATGCGGATATAGATTTATGTTTCCTGTTCATGAGTTAGGGTCAGCGGTTAGGGTTAGAGTCAGGGTAAGGATAGGTCAGCATTCAACGCTATTGTCAGCATTCAACGCTATTGTCAGCATTCAACGCCATGAGATCGCCTTGTTTAATATATTATACTGCACGTTTTCTGGGAGCGGCAAAAGTATTTAAAAGGCCCCCAAGAGAGCTTCGAATTATTGTGGAATGATTATTGAATCACAATGGAGATCACAATCCTTTGTATAATCGTAATTATGTAAACAAGAAAAGAGAAAAATCAATCTAAAAAGTTGAAAATATTAGCAAAACCTTCTACGATTTTGTATGTAAATCTGGATTTCAAAAGAATTATGTTCACCTGTTGAAGGACTCTTTGTGTACTATTTTCTCTGGTATCATTGAAAGGAAGTAAACCATAAGCATTTTATCAACACCAAGTACTGGGAATACTGTATCGAACTAAAGACCATTGACACACAGCAGGAAGATTTAAATCTCACAGTGGAAGCACTGGTTCCTAGTTACCAGTCACGTTCCAACCTGCTTCATCATTTGCATCCTATATAGCCAGACAAAACAAATCGCAGCGTGATACAAATATCTCCAAAGATCAAAGCATATTTTATGGCCATTTTGCATAATTTAATGAGAAAATTGCTGACAAGCACCATTAGTTTGCAAATATGACAGCGACCAAATTCCGTTGAGAGTAACGCTATTTAACTTATTTCCTATATAATGTTTCCATAAAAGTTCTATCTTTTTAAGAAAGTTATAATTGAAGTGTTTGTAGCATTTTGTGGACCTTAATGCGGCGGAATAGCCTGACAGTGACAACAACAGCCGTATGATGAGTTAATCTCGGAGTTATTAATAAACAGCATTAATATTCAACTGGGTATGTCAATGAATTTATATAAATTTATGTCATATTTGTTAGTTATTGGGTGTATAGAAATGTTGGGTTGTGTTTATCGATCAAATTTCAATAAGCTCATGTGTGATATACCAACTTATCAACGCGGTAGTCTACATTTCACTTATTTATGTTTGTGGTTTTCGGCAATTGTAATGGGCGCTGTAATGCTTTATTATATATATATAAAGCGCTAGTTTCTGTACTTTATTCATGTATCATTTATCATAAATATTAATACTTTGTCACATTTATAGTGCTTTATACGTTCAACTGTCAGTCATGTTGCTAACGTTTAAATTCAGCTAGTATTAATGATATAATCAAGCGAGCATGCAGAATTCAGCAGCTCGGAAGAATAATATTGATTGTCTATCTGATCGACTGATCTGACATTGCATATAAATCCAGTCTGATTGAAAGGTTAACGTTTCGATTGATTTTCATTCGTATTTGACACAAAAGGTAAATATGAAAAATACTTGACGTGTTTTGTGTGGTTCTGGTTAGGCCTTAGGGTATTGTGCTGTTTATATGATAAATGTGTGTTACCATTGTTTATTTTATATTGAGTGCATGTGGAAACGTTGTGTTGGTTTAAATCATGGTTTAAATCAATGACGGTTTAAATCAAGGTTTAATCTCATATTTGATATACCGACTTAACGTTTTCATTCTTTCTATAATTTATTTCTGTGCTCTTCAACTTCCGCAGTTTCGATGGCTCCCTGCTGACAGAGGTTTCGACGGGTGATGCTTATGATAATAAGTGGTAGTTCCGTTGTTTATTGATTTATCAAGTTTTATCCTGTCTTTATATCACGAATATCATATCGACTTCAAGTTATATCGTTATGTTACAGTACCAAGGCTGCTAGGATGTGGATCAAGAACAAAGAAAAATGTATTCGTGCCAGTAACATGACGATATTATAATTATATTAATTAATTAACAGACAACTTTAGACACAAATATATATAGTGTTCTTTGTTCTTGACCCAAATCACAACCCTTCCCGGCGCCAGCTATCATGCTACTGTTGATATTAAGAGACTACCAAAGCGAGCATAACATGCATCTTTATATTGTTTGCAACTTTTAACTTAATTTTAAGGAATGTTTATATAATGCTTTTGCATCATTAGATTCGGCAGTTCAAATTAAAACTACGAAAATTAATTAACTGCTTAATTGCACTTGCAAATGAAAAACTATTTAATATCAACACGAAATACCTCACTCAAAATTGGGTAAATGTCCACATCTCTCTGCTGCATAGTTAACAATATGTTAATGTTCATGCATGAAGATTTAACGTCCACTAGCGCTACCAGGTATACGTAGATTAAACGCATCTGATTGGTTAATGGTAGCGTTAGCAAGGCTCTTATCTACGTTTAATGGATGTCATATTGTCAGGTGATAAAATTAGCCTTTCTCACGCCGCCATTTTTGGGTGGAATTTCAGCTGAAGTCTGTGCGATAAGTCACATAACAGCGACTTTTTATAATTTTTTTGACGAATGATGGTAAATTTGCGTTGTAAATGGTTAGTTTATTTTGAAAAATTGCTTTTCACATTGTTTTAATTGTCTGCATTGGATAATGAAAATTGGATGCCACCCAAAAATGGCGGATATTCGTCATCGTGAGAAAGGCTATTTTCTATTCCAATCATCTTCATGATCAGTAAATGAGCTAGCACTACGTTGGTATATACAAAATTATTTTTGAACTGCATGACTTCGTTTTTTGTAGATTTTCTGCTCATCTTTTCAATTGAATCTATAAGAGTTTAGGAAGCTGGACGTTTATTCATTCTATATGAAATTTTACGTTGCTTCATTTATCTTTGCATGTCTTAGATTTTAATGTGTTTATTGTAGCTCAGTTTCAGCAAGCATTCACTTCACAAATCGTAATACCATGAGATCAACGATGCTTAGCTGGTTTTCAATATGGATGTCATGGTACATTGTAATGTTACCTGCAGCAGTTGACTCAGAAATAGGTTCGTATATAAAATGGTGAATTTATTGAAGGTGAACTAACTAACTTTTGAGCTGCAATTAAGCCTTTATTCTTTAACCTCCCCATTAAGTGATAAAACCGGAAATTACAAAAATGGACGTTATAGTTTGTCAAACAGTCAGTTTCCAAATTTGAATAGGCCTATCACTCGAAATTACAATCCTTCACACATGTAATGGTTAATGTATTATTTTAGTATAAACTCTTACAAATCCTGCATTGTGATTGGTTACTCGAAAAGTTTTGGACTTTTTATAATTATCCGCCTTCTATATATATATATATATATATATATATATATATATATATATATATATATATATATATATATATATATATATATATATATATATATATATATATATATATATATTTATCCGGCAAAACTTCGCTTATAATTGTCTTATAATTTGAAATCATGACTCTTATACGGCCTGTTTTTAAATATTTCTAAACTTACGAAATCAACTGCATGCTTATATATTTTTAAGAAAATGTTCATCGGGTTGTTTGCAAACAGTAACAAAAAAAGCCGCATCAGCAATTAAGGTTGAAGGAAATCACTAAACGCTCATGAATGCTTCCAT